ACCTTGGTATCCCTACAGATGTCCCGGTCCTCAAACACTCTCCGCTTCATTCGGAAAAATGCTGCACTCGCAGAGTTCAGGCGGTGTTGTATTTCGGTGTCGATGTTTACTTTGGTGGAGAGGTGGATGCCAAGGTAGCGGAAATGATCCACATTTCCTAATGTTACACCATTAAGCTGTATCTCTGGCATTGGAGATGGATTGGCTGGTGACTGCTGGAAGAGCACTTTGGTTTTCTCGATGTTCAATGACAGGCCCAGCTTCTTGTATGCTTCTGCAAAGGTGTTTAGAGTGGCTTGTAGATCTTCTGAATGCGCACAGATGACGTTGTCATCAGCATACTGGAGTTCTATAACAGATGTTGTTGTAACCTTGGTTTTGGCTTTCAGTCTGCTGAGGTTAAACAGCTTGCCATCTGTCCGATAGATGATTTCCACTCCGCTAGGAGGCTTCCCGTCAACAAGCATTAGTATATACCAGGCATGGGCAAACCTGGGCCTTCCAGGTGTTTGGACGCCAACTCCCAGCATTGCATATACCAGCCCAAGTTTGCCCATGCCTGGTATATGCAATATTCCATCAATGGCATTGAAGTGGATGCTTTTGTGTGCAGGTGGCAAACCCATCCACCTCTGTTTGGATCTCTTTCAGTCACTCTGCAGTTTGCCGGTGTTTGTTTACTCTGCTCATTTATATTACAACAAGGCTGTGTTTAGGAAACCAGCTGGAGGTAATGCAGGTGTAATACATCTCTCTCGGCATTCATATTAGCTTCTGAAAGGCCAAGGAGCAACCCGCAGGTTTTTATATATGATTTCTGAGCAATTCTGTACCTTTCCTTTTCTCAGCCCTGAGTCTGAAATATCGAATTGTTTATTTACTTGGTTTTCAGGAACACGCCGTCACAACCATGAGCTGGTTGGAGCATGTATCTATCTATATAAAAATGCTCTGTGCATAATGAGTACCTTAAAAACCAAAGAACCAATGAATGATATTACACCAAATTTGGCAACAAAACGTCTCACAACACGAGGAGTGACCATCACTCAAAAAATTATGATTTTGTCATTTGGGAGTTGTGGTTGCAGGGATTTATAGTTCACCTACAATCAAAGAGCATTCTGAACTCCATCAACAATGGAATTGTACCAAACTTGGCGCACAGAACTCCCATGACCAACAGAAAATACTGCAAGGCTTTGGTGGGCATTGATCTTGAGTTTGGGAGTTGTAGTTCACCTACATCTAGAGATCACTGTGAACTCAAACAATGATGGAGCTGGACCAAACTTGATACAAGCACTCAATATGAGTAAATATGAACACAGATGGAGTTTGGGGGAAATAGACTTT